TATATTGTTTTATTGTTATTTATTGTATGTATAGTAATAGTATATATATATATATATATATATATATATATAAATATATATATATATATATATAAGTGTGTGTGTGTTTGTATGTGTGTGTTTACGTATGTACTTGTATATTCACATCTGTGAATTTCATGTTTGCAACACCGCGACAATATTCGAATTGTCCTTATCACTGTACTCACATGTAGGTAGTAGTACAAGTGGAATCAGCTGAATATAGTCCGTCTTATGAATTCAAATTTCATTCGGTACGTTCAGAGTCAAGATTTATTATTGAGGAGCACAAGCCTTGTAGAAGTTGACTGACCTTGCGTCCTATGAATTTGATATTTTTTTCTCTGTGCATAGTATCTTGACGATGCAATATCTACCCGCTTCAATTCGGCTAAGCCGTCACCCATCAGTATAGAGGACTACATGTACAGGTATCTATTTTTGACCATATTTATATATATTTCTGTGTGCGTGTGGTCGTGTTCTTTAACGTATATATATATATATACATATGTGTGTGTGTGTGTGTGTGTGTGTGTGTGTGTGTGTGTATCTGTGTCTGTGTCTGTGTCTGTGAATGTGAATGTATGTGTGTATGTGCCTATATATATATAAATACATATGCACTTATATACATATTGATGTACATGTGACTACGTGTGTCGACCGTTAAAAACACTTTTTTTAGCCATGCTCACGCCTGACATTGAGGTTTTAAGCCTTGAGTTTCTTATGAATAATTTTCTATCATTACACATGTTACCAGTTTATATTTGCTGCGCTTTTTAATACTATAGTATTGTTCTCTCTTCACCGCAGGATAATCAAATATGCACCGTGCAGCAAACACTGCTTTGTAATCGCACTGGTATATATCGACAGGCTGGTGCAGGTTTCGCCCCGATTCCGCGTGACATCGTTGAACATACATCGACTCCTGGTGACAACGTACGGTTGATATATACATAAATTTCATCATCTATATGATCCTTAATATTGGCTTTTGGCACACTTTAAGCAGTGCTATGCATATGTGTCCACCGGAGCTGAAAAACGTTTACCAATGAGGACCAATAGCATACGCGTGCGCTTGGGACATCGCTCACACATTTCAACTATCTGCGACTTAGTGGTTATACGACTGACGGTCGTTAAACGCATTGCAATCTTGTCATCGCATGCACAGTCTGCTTATATTTCAATAGGAATGGTGGTCTTTGGTTCTTTTTTCGGAGTATACACAAGTTTACATGGATACGCGTATGGTGAACGGTAGTGCTACGACAAATAAGCAGTGCTTTCATTTTGCCGCAGTAGTGCATTTCCCTTTCGTGCTTCCTATCGTAAGAATGTCTTTCTTGCCTAAAATATGACTAATGAACCCGTTATCGTCTGTGCTCCTCAATCCGTACAGGGTGATGGTGGCTTCGAAATACTTCGATGACAAATATTACAACAACGTGTATTTCGCAAAGGTATGCTGCCATAACTTCATGCAGACCACACCTTATATGCTTCGCTCGGTGTATGCACATCGCGAGCGTGTGCGTCGTGTACACCTTTGGCGTGTACATGCAAGTGTGCATCAGTGTATGCCATTGGGTGATTGCTAATACACACTCACAATTGTGCGTGTGCGTGTGCGTGTGCGTGTGTGTTTGTGCGTGATTCGCAAACTACATAGACATGGTTTTAACAGTTGTGGCTCCTGAAAGATAGCAAATTCGCAAGAATGTATGATATGCATAGTTGCGTGCTTATAGTGGCGACTAACTACGATGGTCAACTGTAGTATTTGTATTACATTGTCTGCTACCGCGCGCTCGAGTCTCATGCTCGTGCATGCGTCCATCCATGGGCGTGCACTTTGTATGTTTTTTTTCTGTGTCTGTGTCCGTGTATGTGTGTAAGGATGTATCTACGCCTATCCGCGTTCTCATAGAAGAGAGTGACTGCTACAAACAGCTTTGTAGTATTTATACTACATTGTCTGCTACCGCGCGCTCGAGTCTCATGCTCGTGCATGCGTCCTTCCAGGGGCGTGCACTTTGTATGTTTTTTTTCTGTGTCTGTGTCCGTGTATGTGTGTAAGGATGTATCTACGCCTATCCGCGTTCTCATAGAAGTGAGTGACTGCTACAAACAGCTTTGTAGTATTTATAATACATCGTCTGCTACCGCGCGCTCGATTCCCATGCTCGTACATTCGTCCCTTCATTGGGGTGTACTTGGTATGTTTCTTTTTTATGTTTGTGTCCAAGTATATATGTAAGGATGTATGCTACGCATAATTGCGTGCTCATAGAAGTGGCTGACTACTGTGATAAGCTCTGTAGTATTTGCATTATATTGTCTGCTACCGCGCGATCGAGTCCCATACTCGTGCATGCGTCCATTCATAAGTTTGTTTTTGTGTATGTATGTGTGTCTGTGTGTGTTTGAGTCCATCCGAGTATGTATGTGAGAGACACCTGCGTGGTTTGTGTCTACTTGCCTACGTATTCTGTCAAATAAACAGTGCACGGTGTCGCTTTTTCGTCAGGATTTCACTGTAACCCCCGCACTATCGAGGTAAATTATATCTGGGTATGTTTGTATTTTAGTCCATTCTATCGTTTTCATTTGATGTCTTATCTTGATATTATTTTATTTTGATATATATGAGGAACAGCACATCACTTTCGCTCTAATCCATTCACTTACACATGTGTTTAAATTTTAATTTGGCTTCCTGCTAGGTACTTCCACTACAATTCATTTACTTCTACGTGTCCTTGGATTCGGATTTTTCCGGCTTATGTCTATGAACAACATTGGCTTTCCAACCAGCACTGCCTATATGGACATTGACAATTATTTTTTTCGGTCTCCCTTTGCTTTTCCGAGACTGTGGGATTGTTTTATGTCTACGGTAGAATCGTATGCATCCCTGAAGTGTTTACCTATTCACTCGTGCATACCTCTAAGAGGGGGTGGTCCTATTTACTAATATCTTGTCTACACGACTGGTGCAACCAAATGACTAGGTTGGGGGCATTCCGTCTAAGCAGTTGAATGCGCTAGAGTTAGAGCTTCTGTTCCGGCTAGACTGGACATGTTACGTCTTACCTGAGGTCTTTGCTATGTACATCCAGGAATTACTGCGCAGAGCAGCGAAAGGTAAGATGCCAGTATATTTGTACGTGTATGTATCTGTTCATCGATGTATACTGGTCCATGCCAGTATAATATGCCAGTAGAACCGTACGTGTATGTATCTATTTATCAATGTATTTTGGTCTATGCCAGTATAGCTGTGCGTGTATGTATCCATTTCTCAATGCATTCTGGTCTATGCCAGTGTAACTGCACGTGTATATATCCACTTATCGATATACGATATCTGATACTGGTCGTAGTGTTGGATCATTGTCTTCGAACCGTTTGGCATAGATGCGCTTTGCTGGAGGCTCTCCCTATGTATGTACCAATGCTACGGCAGTGGATTGCAAAGGGTGTTCGTTCTGGGATGAGATGAATACACATATAACTCGTCCTGTATTAGTGCTCACTATGATGCGGAGGGGATATCCTTAGCTTCCACCAGTGGCAGTGTATATCACCCCAGTGCTTCACATTCAAAACCTCAAGTCCCTCACGAACCTAAGCAAGTACATACGCACTATACATACACGCTAAGCTATACACACCCACTCATTCATCTCATTCTCTATGCATTACTCCCGAGATTCTATACGGTCCAAGTCCGAGTCGGTCGATCCCGAGAAGCTCATACGCCGGTTGCGGCGTGTGTCTATCTCCGAGGACAAACACCATCGCATTCGCATGCGTATGAGAGACAGTGCCGAACTGTCGCAGTTGTTAAAAGACACACCGCATCCCAACGCATCTGTACTAGACTCAGCGGCGATTGGCGCCATGAAGAGCGGAGTCAATAGCGCTGCCAGCACAGCGCCTAACACGCCATATATCAAGGGTGTGAGTATGGGGGAGAGCGAGGACGAGGACGAAGAATACGGGTATGTGTGTGTGTGTGTGTTCATGTATGTGTGTAAGTGCTATTTGTTTTCGCCCATGTGCATATGTATGTGATGTATTTATAAATATATATAA